CCCTCAGCCAGCATGCTGGCTGGGGGAATTCTGGGAGTTGAAGTCCTCACATCTTAAAGTTGCCAAGGTTGAGAAACGCTGTGCTAGAGACCAGAGGCTGCTGGAGAAAGGAGACCTTTGGTTGCAAGGCCTAGTATTGAACCAGAGATTGCAACTCCCTACCTGGCTTCTTCGGGAAATGCATAGGCCACATTTCTGTTGTTCTGACAGGGCTCCTCGGCTTGGTTACGCTCCTGGTTTGAAGCCTTCAGGGCTAGGCGATTCTGCTGGATTTCCCAGTGATGGGCGATGTTACAGATGGTTAACCGTTTCTTCTCCTGAAAAGCGATATAGAGATACTGAGTCCAGATCTAAGCTTTGGAGCAGACAGGTTGCCAAATCTGAAAAACACTGATGGAGGGAGCGTGTACGGAGGAAGAGCTCAGCAGCTTTTAAACGTGAAAAGCTCCATATTCAGGGGTAACGTAGCACTGAATTGCTGGGCAGTTGTGAGTTTCGTGGAAACTTGGCCGCTGCAGGACATTGGCTGCTTTGGCCTCGTCCAGCAGGGCTGTTATGGATGAGGAAGCAGGAAAAGCCATGGAGCCATGTTGTGTGGGGGAGACTGTGGTGGACAACCCTAACCTGTCACTGCCACCCACCATAAGAAGGAAAAGGCTGCTGGGCTGGCAGATAATCAGGGGCCGAGGCCTGTCCACTTGTGTCCTCGTAAAGATACCTTTAACAAAGTCTGCCTGTGGCTCTCACGCCTCTTCTCTTCCTCTTTTCTTAGGGCAACGGATGCCATGCGCCGTTCTTCTTCCTGGATTACACACAAAAACCCACTTTACCCCAGGCTCACAGAATAGACGGGGGTCCACGGCAACCCCAAATTAATATCCCTTTTATGAAGAACGTGACTCCCAAGGAACGTGGCTTCCCCCGCCAAGGAGAAGACTCATCTGTCTATTCTAGCAACACGGATGATCCTTTCATTTCAGAGGGGAAGTACTGGGGGGAAACAAATACTCTAATCCCTTCATATGAATACTGTAAAACACAGCAAATACAAGCAAGCATTCAGCTTCTTTTTCAGCTGGCTCTCAAGCCAAACGAAAGGGGAAAACAGCAGGTTGCTAGCATGAGGAACAGGGCAAAGTTTTGACAATAACAGTAACTGGAAAACAATCATTTCTACACCACAACATATCACAGTCTCTCCCAGCATCTGAAATGGCTCTTCCGTGGCTCCCAGGGAGAAACCCTCAATATGGACTTGTTTGGAACTTTCCACTGCAGCTGTTTTATAACAGCTGGGTGGATGTTCTCAAACAAAAGCAATAACATTCATTAGGGTTTTTTAAATATTTCAGTCCTATACTTCTCAGAAGGTCTTTATAAATAATTGCAACCACACTGAATGGGTCTTATACCAGACCTACTCCTAGGTAAGTGGACAGAGATGCCTTCAGGGCTGAAGCTGAAACCTGGTAAATTCTAAGCAGGGAAGATTGGAGCACGACCCTGAATGTATATTGTTTATTTCTTTTCACCTGCTCTCTCTTCCTCATTTCCCCCGCTTAGTCTGCAAGATCCTTGGGACATGGACCATCATTTATACACACACTGAAGATCAGGAGGAGAGTAGAACATCTTATTCCCGCCCTTCTACAGTATCCCCATGTATATATTTTAAGCATAAAGCAGGGATCAACCCTTCTATTGGGTTAGTGGCGCCCCCTAATGGACATCACGGACTGAATCCTGGCGTGGCTGTTGATTTCAGGTAAACTCCAAGAAGTTTCAAGTCAAAAACGTCAAAGACAATGGGAAAAAAGAAGCAAGTAGAACAGGCACTGGGGGGAGGGAGGGGGGTTGAGAAATAAGAGAAAAGCCAGCCTGACTTTAGTTTCTAGCCAGAAGAAAAAGACCTCCCTACACTCTCTCCCCGCGGAAAAGATTTAGTGATGCTTTTCATTTTTTGTTTTTACTCTTTATTTAGCAAATTTATATAGCTACCCATCTCACTAACGTGACTCCGGGTGACATACAATGAACAAACAATTAGAAACAAATATAACAACCATTAAAAACAATTAAACATAAATAAATACCAAGGCTGAGGGAGAATAACGTCCTAAGCACAATGCAGCCATCTCTTACTTTATATTGTAAGTTTGTTTCATGAGGATCTTTATCAGTTAAATACAACACCTGGATCAATTACTTTTAATAAGCAGCGTTAATTAATCCCTCTGCTAGCAAATTAGACATCAGAATGGTATCGGTCACAGGTTGGAAGACTAAGAGCCGCTGGAAAATTTTGCTCCTCGCCTCTCTTCCAACTGTCAGTTGCCCCAAAGCTATTCAAGAGTGAAAGCCACCAGCCAGCCACATGAAACATGTGGGAAGATGCACAGTTGTTGATCATCCTGGCTGAGAATAAATATGGTCTTGCTAAACATTAAAAAAAAAAGCCGTGCTCCTCAACTGTGCCCAGAGTCATGAGAAAGAAAGAAGAGATATTAACTACAGAAAGGTTTCCCTCCCTGCAATTTTTGGGGGGTCAGTCTGATTTTAACTAAGGCACGGAAGCATGCAAACTTTCTTCTTTGAAGAGGCCTACCGCAATCAACTTGAAGCTCCAAAAAAGCCATTGTTCAAAATATCGTATGTAATTCTAGCACCCCAAAACAACAGAGACCATGGAATGATGACCCCAAAACCTGGCATGACGCAAACATTTTAAATTGATTCCTGTGTGTCTAAAAGGGGCTTTCTCAACCTGGGGCCCCTTCAGAAGTCTTAGGAGTGCAACTGCTGCTGAATTCTGAAAATTGCACCCCCAAAAATTCTGGCCAAGCACCAGGTTGAAAAAGGCTGATGTGAAGGATAACAAAGATGCCCTTTTCATGCTGACACACAAAAAAGTTCACAGGAGTAGAGGTGTGACTGCCCAGACCCACGAAGTATCATAGGATCGTCACAGGGTCAATTCAGATGAGCTGCTAAGCTTTTCTCTCTGAAAAATGCTGCAGAACTTAATAGCCATAATCCGATGGCTAATTAAACAGTGAATGATCTTCTTGAACAAAACATCTTGCTTATTTAAAAGTTCAATCAGTGGTGGGCAACCCAAGGCCTGCTAATGCTGCAGCCTCATCATGACTTTATGTGGCCTTAGAGCACCTCCTGTCTGCCCTGAAGTTTAACAACGGCTTGCCTCCCAAATTCAAAGGTGGTTTTGGCATTTCCTCCCAACCTTTAAGGCTGTCAAAGTGTTATGTTTCATTTAAAATCAAGCCTAATGTTGCTAAATTAAGAACTGCATTGAACTTTTAAAAAATGAAGGGATTTTTATCCTGGTCCTCTTTTAGGGAAACCTTCAGCACACTACCCTAATGCAGAATGGAGACCTCAAAAAAAGTTGCTCCCCCCCAGTTAACTGCTGGAAACTCTTCTCAAGAGGTCTGCTCCTTACTGTGATTTTTTTCATATCCAGCTGTCGGAGCTGCATCATATGGTGGAGAACCGTTGGCTTGTACCATGCCTCCTGAGCTATGGGGTTGCCATCTAGGGTGAGTTCTGAAATGGATGCCGAATCAGCGAGGCACAGGATGTCTTCCACGCTGAACCGAAAGCAAAAAGAAGAAAACAGGGTCACTGACTGCAAGCTCTGATATGCTCAAAGATAACCCCCCTTGCCCCCCAGCCAGTGGGCACATCAGATCATGGAATGCCATTATTTCAAGAAGCTGCCCACCTACAGACTTCTGGGAACCCCTTATCACATACATCCCACCTTGAGCGCAGGAAGTTTCAGTCCCTGAACTAACTCGCAAGAACTAAGTAATTCCAATAGGGATGGATCAAGCGCCATTCCTAGGCTAAAGTAAGATAAAATGAAAAGTCCAAATAGTGGAACTGCGAAGTCACCTTCAAACCGTGTTCTGCCCTGGGCTGTTCTCAAAATCACATGACAGGGACTGGAATCAGGTTTACAAGGGGACGCCTGCTTGTTTCCCAAGTCAGCACCAGAGCAAACATCTGGGAAATCTGCATGATGGCCAAATGCCAGAGTGCAGCTACTGTACGAAAAACCTGTGCCAAGGAGTTCTTCTCCAGCTCAAATTGGGATGGGGAGAAACGTTTGGGCCAGGTTCGCAAGGTTCAGAAAGTCCCGCCCTCATCACTGCGTTTCCCAAATACCTTGGGTCAGGCCCTACACGAGTAGGATCCATAGAACTCAGAAAGGGGCTTAGGCAAGCAGGCAGCCTTGGAGTGGAGCTGCAGGACCTTGGAAAGCTCTCTCTAGGACACAACTTGCCAGAACGGAGATGAGCAAAGGAGTCAAGTTCAATTTTGTTTCATTTCCCTTTTCCCCAGCCTTCCACTGGTTTCGTTTCTAACGCAACTGGCATTTTTTCAGGTTGGGGCGATTTTGCTAACACATTTTAGCACCCGGTGCTTCAAACAGGGAATGTTTTCAGGACATGCTTTTCCTAACACATGCATTTTTGCCATTAAAAAAAAAAAAAACCACCCAAAAAAAGCAAGGCATATTACTCCTACTGTCAGTAAATGGAATGAAATCTCCACAACTCTGCTTCCAGATAGATAGATCTTTTGGCTCAACTCTGCTTCAGAGTTTTGTTTTGTGTTAAGTAAATAGTACTTAAAAAAAAAAGTCTCTGTTTTTTACAAAAGATTCACATCACTAATATAGCTTCCCTCAGTTTCCTGCCCTCCAGATACCTCAGAGGCTTAACATATGCAGAAGCTTAAGGAAACATTTCTCCCCGTTAGAAATGTGAGTGTCCCCCTGCCCAAACAAACCTGGGTCCTGCCCCACCTCCTCTCCAAGCACAGCTCTTGGCCAGACAGGCAAAGCCCAACACGGCTCTTCAGCTGGCAGCTGGCGGAAGTCTCACAAATGTGACCAGAAGCAACTTTGCAAGCGCGAGGCTAGAAAGATGATGTCAGCTACACTAAACAGAAAACGCTCCCACCCCAAGCAAAGCCAGGAAACACTGCAGTCTTTTGACCACGGTATCCGTCACAACGGAGACATCAATAAAAGTCTGCGGGCGCCTCTTAAGTTTGCATGTGCGTATGTGTACGCAGCATGCTAATGACTTAAGTATCGTTACCCTCAGAATCACCTGGGCCGTGCAAGAATGGTAGGATCAGATGAAACTGGTTCTGATTCAGCACCGGAGGCTGCTGTATTCATGCTTAAGTAATCCTGCCAAGTTTAAAGCATGGAATAGTAAGTCCTGGGCGTAAGCTTTCTTTTCAATTTTTCTGCAGGGCAACAATGGAACAAGGAGGTGGTGGACTCCCGTCCACTGGACGCATTTAAACAGAGGCTGGATCCTCATCTCTCAGGGAAGCTGTAATAATGGGTTCTGCACTGGGCAGAATTCCCTTCCGTTCTATGACTTGCCTCTAAATGTCAAGGACATTAAGGTCACAAAAGAGCCCAGAGGCACACAGTCTGAAGTGCAACCTGCACGTGTCAGCGTTACATGTCAGTCAGCTCCCTGTTCTGCATCTGCAGAATGCAAGTCCGCCAAAAGGCCAAACTACTTTCAATATGGTGAGATTCAACTGAGATCAGTCAGATCTCTTCCCTGCCTGTTGCCCCTCCCTCACAGACAGGGACCTGGCTGAACATCTCACGATTTACCAAAAAAAAAAAAGACTGCAAGATTTAATGGGGGCTGAGCAAGCATATTAAGCCTGCAACGCAATGGGAAAACTTGCAATCATCGAGAGGTGTTTCAATACGGAATTATATACTCTGCTCCCGAAAACAGCCTTCATTAAATGTCAAAGCCGGAATAACACACACACAAATAAACCCTTGCAGAAAAAGAGGAAAAAATTGACACCATTCCACTTGAAGCGACAGCAGCTCTCTTGACAAGTGAGGGGTGGGGGGAGGATTAGCCCTGAGGCCACAGTCTGGTTCCAAAATAGCTCAGCAAGGAACAGCTTGCACGTTAGCTAACAAAGAAGATGGTTAACCTGCACAGCTGGAAGCCAGGAACTTCCGTTAAAGAGAACTCACTTTATTTTCAGCCTGTATGAAGGAGAATGGGCTGTATAACCCTAAATCACTTCTTGGCACTATTTTAAATAAGGAACGTCCTACTGATTCACAGGTGACTCAGGTCATCTTGAATCTGAAGAATCAGTGAGCAGGCTTTCTCTTTTGATGCCACTATTATCTTCAATCTCCCCTTTGTGCCTTTAAAGAACCAAACCTCAGACCAACATTAGCCTGTGAAAGAGAAGCAGAGAAACTCCCCCCATAACTAAAAAAGCATAAAATAACTTGGAAACATGTTTGTTTTGCGATCTTTTCCAAGTTCCATATTCCGACTGTTTCTTTAGTGGTGAGACCAAAAGGCCCCTTTGCAAAACATTGAGATTTGGAATTGGTACCTAAAGGAGGGAAGGAACTGAACTGCTGAAAGAGAAGAAAACGGAGCTTCTGCTTACCAAGATATACAGTTAAAGCTGAGGAACAGACGCTGGAGGCTGGGCAAAGTGTCCACATCTTTCTAAAAGGAGACAGAGGAAATATTCTATGTCGGACGGAGAGCGCGCTTGAAACGCAGAACTCCTGAGCAGGAAATCATGCCGGTTTCTTCTTTCCTATCACCTTCCTGCGGCCCTGAGGGCTACTTCCGTGGCGCAGGTCAGAATGAAGGCAAAAGCCCTCTTTGGAAGAAGGTCGGCGTGGCTTGCGACAGGAAGAGGGTGAAGGCAGAGAAGAGAGGGGCGGGGAGGCAGACAGGGATGGCAGACACTCTCTGTCTGAAAGCAGGCTTCTCGGAAAAGACTCCAGGTGCTGCCTCAGCATTTCAGTGGGGAGGCATGGGGGTGGGGGGAGAATGTGCCGCAATGAAACAGCAGGCAAAATAAAACGGGGCTGGAGAACCATGTGGCTCCCTGCATCAAACTGCTAAGTCATGCATGCAGCCTTCGACCAGCAACAGCGTGACTGCGAGGAGACTGGCTTTTAAGAAGCAGTTCTACCACCACCACCCCTGCGGCGGTTTCCCTTTGCCGGGGCAGCGTCAGAGGGAAAAAGAAGGGAGAAATGGGACAATTTCCCCATTTCGCAAAGGAATTGCTCGCTTGCTGTCTCAGGAACCCTTGAGGAACAGGGGCGGGGGGGCGGAGAAGCATTCCACAGACTGCAGATCAGGCCCTTTCTGAGCAACTGTCACTTTTTTCCCTCCAGTGCCGACATGCCAAAGAAAAGCCCTTTAAGGAACAAATCGATTCGGTTCAATTGCTGCTTACCACCAATCTGATCTTGTTATAGCGGAGGTTGAGTTCGAGCAACGAATCCAGTCCGCTGAGGTTTTCAACATACGTTAAGCAATTTCGGGCAAGGTTCAACACCCGGAGATCACTTAAATGACTGACATTTTCTATGACAGAAATCTGGGGGTGGGGAGAGAATCACTCACTATTTGACCCAGAGTCTCCACTCATTCCCCACCCAACACCACCATGAATGAACGATCCTGTGAAATCAGCAATTTATCTTCTAAGATAAAATTATATACCTGGATGCTGTAGAAATGAAATTGACAAGCGTGCATTATTTAATTAGAAAATACCTATTCACTTATTCCCTTAATGTCTCTGAGTGTCCTATAAAGGACAATAATATATAACCTGAAGATAAGTGGACTCCTCCCTTCCCACCCACCCACCCCGCTCATCCTGGTTTAAATCCCCCATCAGTTAAGCCCCTCCATGCATCTGATGAAGCGAGCTGCAGTTCACCAAAGCTTATGCCTTTTATTAGAATGTGTTAGTCAGAGAGGGTTCCACCAGACTCCTCCTGATTTTAGGCTATCACGGATTAATACGCCTCTCCTCCTCCCCTGTAGAGAGGGTGAAACAAGGAAAAGTTGGGACCAGGACTCAAAGCTGGAGACACTCTCCAATATATCCTTTACCCGCACCCTTGGATTCTCCCCTCTCTTTCTTCAGGCTATAGGGACAGAGTAACCCCCTACTGCCTCACAGGTTGCCCCTCCCAGCTGACACAGACAGTTACCGCCCACCCCAGCTGCAAAAGCATTTGTTGTATTCTACCTGGTTTCCATGAAGATCCAAGACATCGAGGCTCCCAAGATTATCCAGGTTTGAAATTCTCCTTATTCTTAAACAGCAACACATTGATGAAGTGTTTTAATTTGGTGGAAGGGGAGAAAAAAAAATCCATTACCGGATTGATCGAGCAGAGCTGAAGGATCTCATGCCACATGACAGTAATTCCATGGCACTATGAGCTGCCCAGGTGCATCATCTGACAGCAGGAGCGAGAGCCAGCTGAAACGCAAGGGGCTTGTCTGCCCTGGCATGAAATGGAAATGTCAATATGTCCAAGGCAGGCAGAAAAACGGAAAAGGACCCATCCCCTAGACGGAAACAGGCTAATTCTGGCCTGGGAGCTTTTGTGTGGCTTTTGGGGAAGGTAGGAGGTAAATCCTGGTGACCTGGAATCGCAGGCTTGTGGCAAATGGAGGCTTCCGAGCCCTCCTCCCATCCTGTCTGCTCCAAGGAGAAGAGTGAGCATGGAAATCTACCACTGAAGAAATCCACTTCTCCACGCTAATCCAAAGACATTTACATGTTAGGCAGGAGGAACTCATGTGGCCTTAATTTTGCTGCTTGTGGCTTGTCCAATCTTCGTATCTGGACTTCTGGGCTCCGTTTCCAGGGAGCTTTCAGCAGCAACAGTAATATGGTAGGGCCCCTGGCACTTCTTTCCCTGAAAACATGGCTCTGAGTGAAAGATGGAGAGACGACAAGGTGGAAGCCCAGGGAGGGGGGCAGGACCTCAGTCCACCAAGGGCTTGTCACACCAGATAATGGCACACCTCTCACCAGACTGCATCATCTACCTAGCCAATCTTGTCTGGGCTCAGAAACCGAACAGGTTTAGATCTGGTTAAACCTAGATGGGAGGTCTGCAGAAATACCAGCGCTCTCCCAAAGCAGCTGAATTCAGCCCCTGCCAGCCACAAAATAAAACTTGCCAAAAAGCATGCCTTTCAAAATGGACCTTTTTAAAAAATCTTTACCTGTTATTTCCCAACAAAAGGACACGGAGACACCTTAGGGTAGAAAGGCCACTAATTTCTTCTATCTGATTATCATACAAGTCCAAGAAAATCAGGTGCTGCAAGTTAGAAATATTCTGGATCCGAGTGATAAAGTTGTGCTGGAAGCTCAGGAGGCGAAGGTGTTCTTCTCCGTCAATAATGGGGCAAACAGTCAGCTTCTGCCTGAGAAGAAGGAGGTTCCAGATCCAGCTGTAAGTAGCCCGGGGGGGCAGCCCACACAGACCATCACTCTGTTTCATTGTGACCTTAGGCAGTGAAGGGGGACAGCAGCCTGAAACTAGGGAGGCTGCTACAAAGCATACTGGCATTCCTAGATTTTCAAGATTTGAAACGGTATCAATTTCTTTAAAAAATTGTAAAGGACAAGTAAGGAGGAGGAGGAAGAAGGGGAGGGGAAGAGGGGAGGGCTGCAGATTGTAAGGGGAGTAAAAGAAGAAAAGAGCAAACCTGCTTAGAATGAAGGTCTACCTAGATCCCTAAATACATCTATTAAAACAGAGCATAAACTTGGGTTTTTGGTTTTAATCGTGAGCCGCCCAGAGTCACCCGTTGGGGGAGATGGGCGGCATACAAATTTAATAAATAAATAAACAAACAAACGAACTGCAACGTTCTGTTAGTCACACGTATCATTCCCAAACTGGGAAACAGGGATTCTCCCTCCCAGGTGCACAAATGAATGAATGGCAGCACGCTGGCCAATGTCCAGCTGCAAACATCTGCCGCAAGGATAGTCCTCTTATTTTTACCTTTCAAGGGTCATCCGGTCCGAATGCTGGATTTTCTCTTCTACAGAGCGGTGCACCAACGGAAAACCTGTGTTCCCGTACGTATTATTATCTGACAGGGGAAAAATAAAAACATTTATTTCTTCAGCTGCCAACGTTCAGACCATATTTAACCCAGGGCAGCCTTTTCATTCTCTGATGAAACATACTGGACGGCTAACTGGTTCCGTCACAAAGGAAGGTCACCGAGGGACTATATTTTACTTAAACACAAGGCGTTCTTTAGAATGAGAGCTAGTTTGATGTTGTGGTTAAAGGTGCCTGGCTAGAAACCAGGAGACCGTGAGTTCTAGCCCCGCCTCAGGGACGAAGCCAGCTGGGTGACCTTGGGCCAGTCCCTCTCTCAGTCCTAGGAGGGAGGCAGCAAGGGCCAACCACTTCTGAAATCTTGCCAAGAAAACTGCAGGGGCTTGTCCAGGCAGTTGCCAGGAGTCAATGCTGACTCAAAGGCACAAACAAACAAGGTTTTAGAATAAGAGGCAGGGAAGGTACAGAAAAAGGGCAAAAAAGGATGTGGGCCCATTATGGCGGGGGGGGCTTCTCTCCAGACCAACCTGAGATCTTTTGGGGAATGCCAAAATCGTCTGGCTCAGATATGGATTTCTTAAAGCCCGGGGTGAAATTCACCAAAGCACCTTCACTGTTATGAAATGTAGCAATGATAGAACGATACGAGGGAACGTGAGAAAGTGATGACTGTAGATCTTCTATTATTTTAAGGTAAAAAAAATTCTTAATATTAAATATTTTCTTAAAGGTACAGAACGTTCCACCAGAGAAAGTTTCAACTTGAGAACAAGCCATTCTGAGTTTTCTGGGAGGGGCTCAACCTTGAAACAGGCATGTTTCAGGGCACTCAGAAAGGACAGCCCACTATGCAGCTCACGCAGGACTCATTAAAGCTGCCCGAAAGGCTGAAAAAAGCCACGGCTGCTTTAATGAGAAACAGAAAGGAGCTGTACTGGTGCAAGTTCCAAGGTACTCCATCCAAATGGTTTCCCAGGCTTCTGCAGCTCTATTAGATATACCATGCGAAAACAACTGTTTAGACCAGTGTTTCTCAACCTTGGCCACTTTAAGATGGGTGGACTTCAACTCCCAGAATTCCCCAGCCAGTTTAGGCCATAACTGCATTAGCCCAACTGATATGCAGAATTACCTGGGCTATTTGTACCAACGTTATGGCAGCCCGGTTGAATTCGGTACTTCGAAGGGTTTGGAAAAGAGCTATCTCCAAAGGCTGTGAGAGAACCCGGACCATATTTCACCTCCAGACTAGGGATATCTACAAAATTTGTTGCGACGGGGATGCAGACCTTCTTACTGCGTGACAAAGGACTTAATCTTCCATCTGCCAGAAGGAAGAAAAAAATGAGGATTACAGCCACAATATTTGCTGCCACAGAAAAGATTAAACAAATTCTACGGCCCTTCAGACTCCTGGGTATATGACCTTCTCAAAATAGCAGGACTGACTTCTGAGTAGTCGTACAGAGAACAAATTTATTATGTAGCAAACCTTCACGCTGTTGAATCGTAACTGACTCACAACAGCTTACCACGAAATAATTTTTTTAAAAAATAAAACAATCGAGCTGTGCTTTAAATGATGAGGCGTATCTAGAAACACACACTGGCGTTCCTCAAGCTGTTACAAACGCTCGTATCAAACCTCTGATTTTTAAATACATTCCTCTGCAAAGGTTTTTAAATGTCAACATGGATTCAACCTGTTCCTTTTCCCATTTCTTCCTTTTTCCAAAGAGATTAGAGTCGTGAACGTAGTTTTGTGAGGGAAAGGCAGGACGTGGTGGTTGTGGGCCCAGTCACAGCCAAAAGAACCCCTGCACTCCCTGATTCCCGTGAATAAGGGGAACTTGAGAATTCTGGCAGCGTGCAAACATTTCCTAAAATGAACAGATGAAAAAGAATGATTCACATCCTTTGACCTGCCTACCTGCTAAACCAAGGCTTAATGTTGAGACACAGCTGGATATCTGCAGAGGTCTGTCAGCTGCCTTTCACTTGTTTGCTGCTAAGAACACTGCAAGCAGTATTTGGGGACTGATAACAGCAGTACCTGCTGTGTGATCTGAGAATCTATCCTAACATTACAGGATTTCCCCCCCAGTTGGCCTTCAGCAGGAACTGACAAAAATCAGAGTTTCTGGATTGCACGTAGTCCAGTCAGGAATAACCGCCCAGACTCTTCCGCCCACCATACCGCCAAAGGTTCTCTCCCTCCCCAACCCCTTCTTGCCAGTGTATTTCTTGCCTGCTGCATATTCTGCCCACAATCCTCTATTTCCCACACCACTGCCTTTCCTTCTCTTTATCTAATGGTTTCTTCCATATCCCCAGTTGCTCCATCTCCTGTGCCTCCCTGGGTCTCTCTATCTGTCAGACTCTTGGGCGTCTGCCTAAAACCAGAAGCGAGTTTCCCTTTCAAGCAAATTCTCTCAGAATTCTCTTTAGCGAGACTTACTGAGGAGGAAGGGATGGAATACGGTACAAGCGTTTCAACCACTGAACTGTTTTCCGTTTAGAATCAACGTATTCCCATGGATGTTAGAGCAGAGGTGTTTTCTTTCCAGCAGCCTTCCTGTGATCCAGCAAGGAAGCAGTCTTCTCCAGGATAACAGAGAAGCTTCCCGCTGGCTGATTTTATAAACATCTCCTGAAGCTTGACCAGTCTGGGAACCAGTTACAAGGTAACCTCAACAGTTTCTCAACCCATAAGCTACTTTCCACAAATCTCCATCTTGCTGCTCCCTCCCTACCATCCTCTTCAGGCACTCCCCTTCAAGAAACCTGCTGTTTTTCCTTCTGTTCTAAAAGAAAAAACAGCTGCATTTTTAGTAAAGAGAGCAGATTCTGTTTCACAGCATCTTCTCTCCTGAAGAAAAACAGAGAACATCACTTTTTTCTTCCCTTTGGCCTATCCCATCCTTCTCAAAATTGTTTTGCAAATGAAAATCTAAAGGGCATCACAGCACCTTCCACTGATGGAAAAAACCCTGCAGCTTTTTTTTTAGCTTGCTTCTGTATCTTCCTACCAAAAGAAATACAAAATACGAAAACTAAAATTAAAAAGCATTTGTGAAAAATAAAAATACAAAAAACAAGTGAAAATATAAAGCAAAAAAATTTAAAAGTGCTCTCCTTTCCCGCTATCAGAACGTGATCTTTGCAATGCCACAGAAAGGACCTGAGAGATTCCGTCACACCCCAAAATGCTAGAGTGACAAACACGTCTCTTATGTCCCTTGTTAGCAATCTTGGTTTTTACAGTGACCTTCCCAACAGTACCTAGTTTTCCAGAATGGTTTTTTTCAAGATCATGCTGCAAGAACCGGCTGTGAAGATACGGCTGTTCTTTGTGCAATTTGAGCTCAAGCTGCAATACAAAACGTTAGAAGGGAAATGCCATTACGCTTCTGCACCTGCCTGCTGTGACTGAAACAAAAAGGAAGTGGATTCTGTTAACGTAGCCTTACAATAAGGTAGAATTAGCTCATCTGGTCATGTTTCCTGTCTGGTTTACCTGGGAAGGCTGATGTCAATCTTGCAAGTCTGAAAGTGCAAATCTCCCGCTGTCTCTTTTACAGCCTGATAATTTAGGGAGATTCCTTTCTGAGTTTCTTTCTCCACCCGTTATGCAGTTGCGGGCTATGTCCTCCCTTATCTGATCGCTCCCTAGGCAGCATCTTGTCTCCCACAGTCATTCCCACATACCCCTTACAGTCTATGACTATCTTCTGATACTTTCTTGATATTCACACATTCTGCCCAGCAAAACAGTACAGCATAACAATAATACTGTCATTTACAGATTAGACAGAATGCACATGCCACATGCTGATGGCGAAGAGCGATAAATGGAGGGTCCAATGCTTCAAGTGTCCTGCAAAACCATTCCTGAGGTTTTGTATATATTATATACAAAACAGGATTGAACACTGCTACTTCTTCTCTGTTTAGAACAGCGTTATTAATTCCAGCATACAAGCGAATGTGCTCTGTAGTTGTCAAATGTGCTCTCCGCAACGTAAGTCATGCAAGAAGCTTAACAATAAAAAGAGCAAAAGACAGGACACCTACGCACCAACATCAGAAGACATCACAAAACATCAAATTCACTACACAACTTCATCTCGGGGCCTCTGGGTTCTCTAAATTTTTATAATAAAAATTCAAGTCTCACAGATCTGGTTCTTTCTGCCGCCGACGTACTTTGGAGAACAAGCTGAACTCCGTAATTGTTGGCCTGCAAATTGGAAACAAGAATTAATCACATCCAAGAATCTCACATTTAAAAGGAGAATAGGAAGAAGGGCATTTTATCTCAGCATTGGTTTCAGGACAAGGTAAACAGGGTGAAAAGCGTGGCTTGAATAATGCTGTGATAAAAAGACGCATATTTAATTTTTGTGGCCTTTTGAAAAACCAAAGCAACCCCGTCCGTGTCTGCAAACCACAAAAAAACCGTAACAAGCAAAACTTGCACGCCAAATCTCAGAGGGGACACCCAGGAGCTGCATTATTTGAATTTCTTCATGAAATTTGTTACAGCCACCCACTCCTATAGACTCTGGGAGGTTTACATAAGTCCAGTAGATAGTTGAAACAAATTAAGACAAGACAGACCGGACGGAAAACATACAAGCACAATAAAACACAACACGGCAGCCCCACCCCAAAAAACAGCATTAACCCCACCCTGGTAACAAAGCCAGGTTTTAAAGGCTGTCTCTGGAGATGTAGCAGAGAGAGAGAGAGAGAGAGAGATGGGGGAAAAAAGATTAAATGTGGGAAACCTAGACAACTGGGATTTTTATTGTTTGATTTTTTTTTTATTTATTTATTTATTTATTTATTTATTCAAATTTGTCAGCTGCTCCACTCCAATGGGCTAAATAAATTTTTTTTTTAAAAAAACCATCTAAATAAATAAATCTAATCTAATGCAAAGATCTAATACAAGAAAAATTATTGATTTGGTAACTTTATATAACCGCCCATCTCACCTACGCGACTCTGAGTGGCGCGCAAAGTTAAAAACACAAAGCAATGCAAGAAAATAACCAAACAATAACAACGAAAAGCCAATGCAAAACATGAAAAATCGAAATTAAAAAATTGAAATTAAAAAATCAAATACTAACATTAAAAAATAAGATACCAAAATATTAAAATTGAAAAATAATTAAAAACTAAAACATTAAAAAGTGATACTAAAATTATTTTTTAAAAAAGGACAAAAAGGGAGCGGGGCGAAGCTACTCACAACTGCCTTCCCCAGCAGAGGAAGGACTACAGCCCCCATGCTCCCCTCCCCCGGCTGTGGTCCATGGGAGCCGTAGTCCCCAGCCCAGGCGACCCTGCGGGACCCCTCATCGGCCCCTCGCTTACCGAGACGGTGTGCCCCGGCC